TCTCTCGGAATAATTTGCGCAGAAGTGGCTGAATGGGAACTTCTAATAGGCAAACCTTTATTGGAAATCCAGGGTAGATACTGCCTTAGTGACTCTGTCACCATAACAAAAATATTTCAAGTGGGGGCTGGGAGGACTAGGATGGCATTGTTGGACGGTTTGGGAGGCGGAAGTTCAAATCGGGGCGTTGGCTGCGGGGCTGTGGTCTTCCTTGTTGGGGCGCCCACGCCCCTTGGCTTGTAGACGGTGCTCACACAGCCTCTTCCCTCGTGAGCCTGTATCTGTGATTTCCTTTTTTATAAACCAGCACTCAAAGGGGATTGGGTTGAGGACCCTCCTTAATCCTGGACCACCACAATGTCACAAAAGCAAATCCCTTATTTCCAGAGTCACAGGTCTAGGGGGGTCAAGATTTCAATTTTTTGGTGGGGGGTGGGGGTGGCATATTCAATCTATAACAATACCGACGTTCCTAATGACAAGAAAGTATCTGAGGCCCAGCAACCTCAAGTCCCTTACCAAAGGGCTATTAAGGAGTAAGTGGCCTGGCCAGGCCTCAGACTCCAGGCCCCGCTCTGCCTCCAAAGCCTAAGATTTTAACCCCTTAATGACAGCAACTCCCAAAGAGCTGGCTTTTGGGAGGCCACCGCCTAGCTGGGGGCTGCTCAGCCGCGGTGGGCCTCACAGTTTGTGCTGAGAAGTGCTTCCAATGGGTTCTCTCTGGAGTGATGAGAGGAGCCCCTGAACCTGGATTGTAACCTCCTCACCTGGCCCAGGTGAGCCTCCTGACTGCTGGGCCTCCCTGTACCTGTGCTGACTCACACCCAGGTACCCAGGTGAAAAATGCTTGCCAACCCCACGTGCCCATCCTACCCATGGCCTGGCAGACCTCTAGAGGGCCAAGGGCCACCACCCTCTTCAGCCACAACTCCCAGGAGCCCGGCCATCAGCCTGGCAGCCCTTAAACATTTGTCACAGGGGAGATCCCAACCGCACACCATCATCATTTCCAGAGAGCGACGAGGAAAAGGAATCCTTTGGAAACCGGCTCTCATGGGCAAGAGGCGCCACCAATCCGTTGGCTGTTTCCACTGACGGTGAGGCCACAGGCACGGAGGGTGCCACTGTGGGTTGGCGCCCAC